ATGAGTTCACGTCCTTTGTAGGGACATGGATGAACCTGGAAACCATCATTCTCAGCAAACTGACACAAGAGCAGAAAATCAAACACCGCATATTCTCACTCATAGGCGAGTGTTGAACAGTGAGAACACGTGGACACAGGGAGGGGAGCACTACACACTGGGGTCCGTTGGGGGGAAATGGGGGAGGGACGGGGGGTGGGAAGGTGGGAAGAGATAGCATGGGGAGGAATGACAGATACAGGTGAGGGGACGGAAGGCAGCAAACCACACTGCCATGTGTGTACCTATGCAACAAACTTGCATGTTCTTCACATGTACCCCAAAACCTAAAATGCAATTTTATATATATATATATATAGAAGACCAGCCTAGCCAACATGGTGAAACCTCATCTCTACTAAAAATAAAAAAATAAAAAAATAAAAAAATAACACCCAAAAAACACTTGGCATGGTGATGTGTGCCTGTAATCCCAGGTACTCAAGAGGCTGAGGCATGAGACTAGTTTGAACCCAGGAGACAGAGGTTGCAGTGAGCCCAGATCACACTACCCTAGCCTGGTTGACAAAGTGACTCTGTGTATAAATAAATAAATAAATAAATAAATAAATAAATAAAGAATTGCAATAAAATTGCAAAGAACTATCCTGTATAGTATATTTTATAGAATGTTTTATATTCTATACTCTATGTGGGGAACACTACCGTGTGAGACCCCTAAAAGGCGTGAGTCTCACTATACGGTGAGTTTGATCCCAAACACAGTTTCCTACTGGAGGCAGTCGAGCTATCCGGAAACATAGGAACTGAAAGATGAATGATCAGTTTCTAATATCAACCACAGTATCGTTTGGGCCTAAAACTATGCGTTGCTGCTAGACCGAGTAACCCCCTACCAGCAACCAGTTCCTGCTATGACCTTTTTATGACTTTAAGAATAAGTTTTAACCTTTACTTGCCTAACTGCCTTGTACCCTAGATAATGGTTTAACTGTCGATATTTGCAAAGCAAAATGCCACCATAAGGGATGGCTTTGATTCCTGACTCAGAGATTCCTGAATAATGTTTTGATATAAACAAGTCTCCTGAATAATGTTTTGATATAAACAAGTCTCCTGAATAATGTTTTGATATAAACAAGTCTGGTGGATGATGTTTAGATATAAACAAACTTTGTGATTGTAGAAAATTTTGTTACTTTTTACAACAATTGATCGCATATCTGACTTCTCTATTGTATAGGCCATGTGAGGCATACATTTACATTCCTCTTACTATGACGTAAACCAAAGCCAAGAAAATGTATTTATTCCTGACATTTGAAAAATAAAATTTGCTGTTTAGGCACAGCCTATCAGCCCTCCAGACGCCTCGCTTTCTCTCTCTCTGTCTTTATTATTTTCTCAGGCGCACTCCCTCTTCCAGGTATTGGGACCCTCTTGCAGGTCGAGAGACCCCCGGGCAGACGTGCCTACCCGTCCGGACGGTCCACGACAACTCTACTTAATGATCACAAAAATTTGACGAGATTTATTTTTACTACACAGATAATAAATCAAGTTTCAGAGAGGTTAAAAGCGTCCCCTAAAAGTGGCAAATCTGGGCCTGGATATAAAATCTTCCCACTTCAGGCTCAACTTTCTTCAATGCTCCTAAGAGCTTTAGAAAGTGTTTCTAGAAGCAACCCCATACCTTCCCAAATAACTAAAGCTTCCACATATGAGGGAAGGCCTTTGCCAGGTGCTGGTGAATTCGAAGGTCAAGAAGACTCCTCCAAGAGCATTCTTTCTTATACTAAAAAAGGGAAGATCATTTTAAGAGCCATTTATTATAAAAAATATTCATTATATTTTTCAGTTTGTTCAAGCTATAGTGCTTTCTTATGAAATATTAGACAAACTTTATAGAAACAAAGCAGTGGAATGTCTTAGCTGCTGCTAAGCCAGAAGAGAGCAAAATATCAGCAGCGTCAAAGTCCCTGAGTAACTCTGAAATGTTAGAACTCAATCAAAGCTTGCCAGAGGAGGAGGTCTGTGAGTGAGGGTGGAATGGAATGTCTTCTAATCTGTGATCTGAATTCAGACATTTTCTTCGAAATGGCTTCAGAGGCTAATATATATCTTTAAAAATCTATCTTGGGGCCAAGTGGCAGTGACTCATGCCTATAATCCCAACACTCTGGGAGTCTGAGGCAGGTGGATCACTTGAGGTTAGGAGTTCAAGTCCAGCCTGGCCAACATGGTGAAACCCCAACTCTACTAAAAATACAAAAATTAGCCGGGCTTGGTGGTGGGCACCTTTAGTCTCAGCTATTTGGGAGGCTGAGGCAGGAGGATTGCTGAGATCATGCCACTGCACTCCAGCCTATGCAACAGAGTAATACTTTGTCTCAAAAAAAAAAAAAAAAAAAAAATCTATCAGTCAGGTGTGGTGGCTCAGGTCTGTAATCCCAGTACTTTGGGAGGCCGAGGCGGGCAGGATAACCTGAGGTCAGGAGTACAAGACCAGCGTGACCAACATGTGAAATCCCGTCTTAAAAAAAAAAAATCTCGGCCAGGCATGGTGGCTCATGCCTGTAATCTTAGCACTTTGGGAGGCTGAGGGTGGATCACTTGAGGTCAAGAGTTGGAGACCAGCTTGGTCAACATGGTGAAACCTCATCTCTACTAAAAACACCAAAATTAGTTGGGCGTGGTGTCAGGTGCCAATAGAAGCAGGAGAATGGCTTGAACCCAGGAGGTGGAGGTTGCAGTAAGCCGAGATCGTGCCACTGCACTCCAGCCTGGGTGACAGAGTGAGACTTCATCTCAGAAAAAAAAAAAAAAAACCAAATCTATCTTTTCAACCTCTAATTCTACTAATGGTAGCCTTCAAGGCTTAGACAGGGATGCCATGCTGGTGCTTTAAACTTAATGCTTTAAAAACGGAAAGCTTAATATTTTCAAAACTGTCAACTGCACAGAGAGTTCCTTAGCCTGGCCCAGCTTAGTCATGCTTCTTCTCCAAGACCACCATGCAAGGGCAAGTGTCTTAGGGCTCTTGGTCTTACTTATCTTTAAAGTATGCCTCTCCCTCCAAGATGTTATGGATTCCTTCCTTTACTCCTTCAGTTACATTAAAAGTTTCTTCCATTAGTTTTTGTTGTATCTTGCACACACCTTCCTCAGAGCACTGACTGTGTTGTATTTGTGTGTTCATGTGTATGTTTCCTTCAACTAGTTCTGGAGCTCCTGAAGACAAAGAGTATGTCTATTCATCATTGTATCCCTAGAACTTAGCATGATGTCTGACAAAAATGAAGTTCACTTAGGTGCAGGTACTGGATCTTCCTCTTCCCGAATCCCTCTGCTCTCCTCTGTGGTAGGACAAGGTGATGGTGGCAGGGCACTCTGGGCTGCCTGCACAAGGAACCAGTTGGGAGTGTGTTCCCACTTCTCCTAGCTGGGGAGGCTGCACCCAAAGTCAACTTCCTGAAGAGGCAAGGAATTAATGTTGGATAGACAAATGGATGGGGGAGGGTCTGCCTGGCTTGCTTAAGAACACACAACTAGTACTAAAAGGCAACAAGACCAAGAATTTGATTCACGACAGGGATTCTTCTTCTTTGCATTCGCTGTTTTATCCCCAGTGCCTAGACGAGTCCCTGACTCACCAGCGTTTGATCAATATTTGTTGAATGAATGACTGATTAGATGACTGATTGACTGAATGAATGAATGAAAGGTTAACTTCAAAGCCCGTGCCTTTTAACTTCATTCCAACTTCCAATCTTTGTATACAGTGTGTTTATCTGTGTATAGATATACCTTTCAAAGAAATAAAAATTCGAATGACCTCTTCTTTACAATAATCCATAATGAAAGATTAATGATAGCTATTTACAAGTATCTTACACACATATACACACACATTCTAAGCCATTGAAATAGTCTTTGTAATTTGTTTCATTTACTAGAAGAAATGTAACTTTCAGAAAGTAAGCAGACATCCTACCTGAAATTCATATAATGTTACATTCTCAGAATTAGTTTTTGGTTAACTGGTGTAATGAATTTGTCTTGTAAACCGTCCTTGAAAAAAACACAATACCTAGGTAGATTGAAGAAAACCATGGCTGGGCATATGGGGAAATGCATGACTGTGGTTGGTTATGTGCACAAGCTGCCCAGCAGCAGAAATGGAGGCTCTCAACACTTCTAAAAATGTAGAAAGCTGGCAACTCGATATGTGCTTCTGCCAAGAATCACATGTAGGTTTATAATCTTCCACCTAAACTTCTGGAGCCTCTCTTCTTCACAAAGAACGGCAGCTGATCTTATCTTTATCTGTTAACCGACACAGATGCAGCCATTTACTGCAAGGCAGAACAAAAGCCAGCAGAGGGATGGAAGAAACCAGAAATAGATCTTCCTTGAACTGATTTGTATCAGAGTTATAAACAATTCCAGGTATGAAAGAAAAGTAGACAGGCAAGCACTTACTGAAGACAGGAGGAAAGAATGATTTTTTCTTTCTTTTTTTTTTTTTTTTTTTTCCCCTTCTCTCTCTCTCTCTTTTAGTTTTTTTGGTCCAGATCCCCAACGCAAACATTTCAGGAGCCGGCTGTGCCTCCCGTAGGAGGCTGTTCATTGTGTGCCCTCTCACCGGCGTCCACACTGGCTTCCCGCCCATGGCCATCCTGCTATGGTTACACAGCATATTTTATAATGCAAATCACCGTCTACAACATGGCTCATTATTTTCCTCTCTGAATAATATATGAACACATCAATTATGCGTCAGTCTGTTTCTAAATGCACACCCTTGTCGCACTGACCTCTTTCTACTTTTATATTTTTCAGTATGTTCCTGACATTTTTCAACTGGGTTAGTTCCAAACCTTTCTAACCTATGATTGTATTATTATAGCACTTTTCAAACTTTATTCTATTCAAATTAGTTTGACACAAAGGCACACTGCGGGGGGGTGAGCCCGGCTGTGCTGCCCGCAGGCACTCACCATTGCCTGTAGTCTGCATCGCAGTTACAGTAGTACTTGGGATCTGTGCAGTTGCGTTCAATGCCACAGGCACATTTCTGGATTCCAGGCCCCGAACCTCCCCAGTAGTAGTGCTTCTCATTGGCTTTGCCAACCCACCAAGTGTAAGGGCTTCCATCTACAAGAAAAGGGAAAGGCATAGTTAGAAACAGACCTGGGTTCGGTCATTATACTGCCACACTTACGCCCACTTCCCCAGACTATACCCCGATAGTCCGAACATCACGCAACCCTCTTAAAAGTCAATTTATTTCAAACAGACAACCCACAGAGTGGGAGAAAATCTTCACAACTTATCTATCTGACAAAGTACTAATATCCAGAATCTACAACGAACTCGAACAAATTAACAAGAAAAAAAATCTCATCAAAAAGTGGGCTAAGGAAATGAATAGAAAATCTTCAAAAGAATATATACAAAAGGCCAACCAACATAAGAAAAAATGCTCAACATCACTAATCATCAGGGAAAGGCAAATGAAAACCACAATACAATACTACCTTACTCCCACAAGAATGCCCATAATCAAAAAATCAAAAAATAATAGATGTTGGTGTGGATGTGATAAAAAGGGAACACTTCTACACTGCTGGTGGGTGTGTAAACTAGTATAACTGCTATGGAAAACAGTGTGGAGATTCCTTAGAACTAAAAGTAGAACTAGCATTTGATCCAGCAATCCCACTACTGGGTATCTACCCATTGAAAAATAAGTCATTATACGAAAAAAGATACTTGCACATATATGTTTATAGCAGCACAATTCACAATTACAAAAATGTGGAACCAACCTAAATGCCCATCAGTCAATGAATGGATAAAGAAACTGTAAAATATACATAGAGATAAGTAAAATACACATGCACATATATATGATGCTACCGTGTGAACAGTTATAGTATCTAAACAAAAAATACAAAAAGTAAGGACCATATTAGAATTACTGCAAAAAAAAAAAATACTGTGGTACTTTCTCAGCTATTGCAATAGTTTTCCTTAAGAACAATTTTGTTAACAGGCGGGCAATCTAAAGTTGCTGAGAACGTACTGGGACTGGAGTCCAGAATGAATGCAATGAATGAGCAAGGCCTCTAAATTTAAAAAGGAGTTAGTTATTCAGGTATTCTCCCACTCTACATAAATTGCTTGATTTTTCTATGTATTGACTTAATTTGGAAGTTATGATTTTCTCCTGGCATGATCACGTTTGGAACCTACATTTAAAAAAGTATATTTGACTTAATCTGGTAAACGGTCAAGAGGGAGAGCTCAGGACCCTATTCCAAAGGGAGAAACACACCTGCTTTCCGACATAAAAGTCCACCCTGAAGCTGTGTCTTCTGTTTACCCATGCCTGGTCCCAGCATATGGGTGCTCTGTTTGTTTTCTGTGTTTAAGACATTTGCTTCTCCCTTCTTTTTCCATCAGGGTAAGTGGTGAAACATCCAGCCTCTCTGATGCTTCCCATGGCCAATAATAAACTTTTCTTTTGAAGCAGTCCAGAGTTCCAACAATAAGGTTTGAAAAACTCCATTTATAGAAACTATAGCAACTCAGCCACCCAAAAAAATGTTAAGGTCATTTGGCCCATAAGCTGCACTAGGTCTCTGCTGATCCCGTATGTGGCCATACTGCAGAAAGAGGACAGAGGTGGAGGGTGCCATGCTGACCTCACGAAATGCCTTTGAGGCTGGGCAGGCCACAACCTGACCCTGAAAATGTAGAATTACCCTAACTGGTTATCATATTCATTTATCGCATTGCATTTTAAAAACTGACCCCACGCTAAATTCTCTCAAAGGAACTTTTGGTTAATATCACTGTTTTTGGAAACTAGAGGATACTAACACACTTGGTGGAGGAGACAAGGCAAATCAGGCACTTGTAAAAGTGGAGTTAAAGGTTTGCTTGGCAGGTAATTTCTTTGTCCTGCCTGTACCTCAAATAACCAGTGAAAGATTATGTATCTCAGAATCTTCACTCAATTTATGACTGTTCCTTCCAGTGACCAGTAGAAACATCCTAATACTGTGTTATATTTTTGTTGTAGACAGTAATAGTAATTTACATGAATCAGAGAAGCTGTGTGTGGCTCAGTATTCTTTGTAAAAATCAGGACATTGTCAGTAAAAGGAGAGGATAACAATCATCTGCTTTCGCCTTCAGAATGAGACTACTAGAAACATGCTGCAGGGAAAAAGGAGAAGAGAGGTAGCTGATTTCCACCCACCTTAAAGGAGTGCCCAGAAGCCTAGGAAAGGAAGTCTCATTGTTGAACTGTTTGGGCAGTGGTGAAGCTGCCTGTGCAAAGTTATGACTGAGACAGTGAAAGAGAATCTAATTTAATCGACTTCATCTTGCTTCTAACCTCCAAGTTGTCCTTGCTCCTTCCTGGACATAGGCTGAATTAACTTTGAAAGAAACTTGGTTTACAGTTTATAGTTTAAAACAAAGATGATAACAGCCTTTTCCCAATGCAGAGCCTTCTTCTTGCCTGGGGACTAGACTGTCTTGGTAGGACTAACATTAGCCATAAGATTAGAAATTGTAGTTTAAGAGTCAGGCAGCTGGAGACTACAAGATTCTGACCCTCCCTAAACTGCATCTACAATCGGTGCTTGAGATACTTTGCAGACCCTGCACTTGATGGATCAACTGGCACCACTCAGATCAATAAACTGGCCCATCTGATCTTGTGGTTCCCACCCAGGAACTGACTCAGCACAAGAAAACAGCTTTAACTCCCTATGATTTCATTCCCTGAACAATCAGCCCTCCTGGCTCACTGGCTTCCCCGCTACCCACCAAGTAGTCCTTAAAAATTCTGATCCCCAAATGCTCGGGGAGACTGATTTGAGTAATAATAAAACTTTGGTCTCCCACACAGCTCTCTGCATGAATTACTCTTTCTCTATTGCAATTCCCCTGTCTCAATGAATTGGCTCTGTCTAGGCAGCAGGCAAGGTGAACCTCTTGGGTGATTATAGTGGTTGTTCCAGTAGAAACCCTCAACTGTGCATGGAATCCAGGCTGCACGTTAATCTCCTAGGGCAGACCCTCTGCTCATTGTAGAGAGGGACTCTTATTAGACACCAGGATGGGATCCAAGGGGATGATGCGATAATTCCTCCATGTGCAAGGAGTGCAGGTGCAAGGAGGTGGCATGCTAGTGACCTGGTAAAAGCAGCCTAGTTTCCCAGCTGCTTCTCTCATTCCTCACTCTTTCTCAAGTCACAATACTTTAGTCCTTATACAATGAATGCTCCCAGGGAGGTTGATGCAAAATTGATGTTGTTCTGTTCTTTTTCCCAGGAAAATAAGTTAAATACAACACAAAATGCCGACCTTAGCTCTTTCCACATCTACCACAAAAGAATGCCAATAAGAAAAACATATTCCAGAGAGAAAGCAAATTGTAGACTCTGTTATTAGCATTGGCTAATTCGGTTAAATCACTGTAACTAAAATAAATTATTAATTTGTTGTGTATTTTATATTCAGCAAGAGGAGAATTGTTCAATTTACTTTGAGCAAAGAATTCCCTTATTCCAGTGCTATGCTAATGAAATGGTACTTTTTGCTTTACAAATCATTATTTACCTGTTAATTGGCTTTGGGGAAAAACCGTTCAAGGCAATAAAAATGGAAAGCCGTTTTAAAAGACAAGGGTAAAAAGTGGTGGGGAAAGAAATAATTTAATTATCTATTTCCAAGAGTTCAAGAACTTCTATAACCTCAGCATATGAAGATTGTAGTTAACTATATTAAGCAGGTGTAGTCACTGCAACAAGATTAGGTAATGAGGAACGACATTCTAAGTTAACTAGAGCTAAATTATCAAAGTAAGGCATATTGTATTAAAACAATCTAACATGAATTGAATTAAATATAATCATTATACTGTTTGTACTCACTTCAGATCAGGTTTTATTACGGTGAAGCGTTTATTAAGGTTTGAATGATTAAACTAGGAAAGGGAGAAAGAAATAGGCTAGAAAGGAAAGACGTTTTCTAAGACTTAATAAAACCAATAAGCCGGGCGCAGTTGACTTAATTTGGAAGTTACGATTTTCTCTTGGCATGATCATGTTTGGTATCCACATTAAAAAAAAGTATATTTGACTTAATCTGGTAAACAGTCAAGAGGGAGAGCTCAGGACCCTGTTCCAAAGGGAGAAACACAGCCGCTTTCTGACATAAAGGTCCACTAGGAAGCTGTGTCTTCTGTTTACCCATGCCTGGTCCCAGCATATGTGGTCTGTGTTTGCTTTCTATGTTTAAGATGTTGCTTCTCTCTTCTTTTTCCATCAGGGCAACTGGAAAAGCATCCAGCTTCTCTGATGCCTCCCAATGGCCAATAATATACTTTTCTTTTGAAGCAGTCCGGAGTTCCAACAATAAGGGTTGAAAAATCCCATTTATAGAAACTATAGCAACTCAGCCACCCAAAGAAATGTTAAGGTCACTTGGCCCATAAGCTACACTAGGTCTCTGCTGATTCTGTTTCTGGCCATGTTACAGAAAGAGGAAAAAGGTGGAGAGTGCCATGTTTAATCCCAGCACTTTGGGAGACTGAGGTGGGCGGACCGCCTGAGGTCAGGGGTTCGAGATCAGCCTGGCCAACATGGTGAAACCCTGTGTCTACTAAAAATACAAAACTTAGCTGGGTGTGGTGGTGTGTGCCTGTAATCCCAGCAACTCAGTAGGTCGATGAGACAGGAGAATCACTTGAACCCAGGAGGTGGAGTTTGCAGTGAGCTGAGATTGTACCACTGTACTACAGCCTGGGTGACAGAACAAGACTGTCTCCAATCAATCAATCAATAGCTTTCTGTTATTTTCATCAATAATAAGAAGTTGTTTCAGAAACACAAGGGTGAATGCTTGGGGACCACTTGATGAAAATGTGGTACATACTTGTGATTTTCAAAATGTGTTCTTTGGAACTTCTGGGCTACACAAAGTAACTCAACTGGCTGCTTAAATAAATATGATCCTGGTGCCCTCTGAGATAAGACCCAGCACAGTCACTGGGATATTTAATTTGTTTCATTCCCACTGTTTCTATCGGAGATTAAAAATAATACCACAAGGGTATATAATCTCTAAAACGAAAA